TGGGGAGCAAATAGGAATAAAATAGAATTCTGAAGTGTATTTCTATGAATATACAGTGGCTAAACACTCCATGTAAAATAAAACTTATTTACAAATTACTCAGAAAAGAACAAATAGACATAGCCACGATACAAGAGAAAAAGGAAGAGAAAGTTAGATGGAAGTATGAGTTGTATGAAGAAGTTATACATAAAAGTTATATATAAAAAAAAGAGGAGTTGTCATTATTTTTTCAAAATGGGATTAGTAAGGAAATATTATATAAAGAGTTGGATAGCGAAGGAAGATACCAAGGTCTAGACTCAGTAACATATACCTTTGTTAACTTTATTTGCCAAACGTATTACCAACAAAATATCTTAAAAAAGGTAATGGATAGGGTTGAAAAAGTTAAAATGGGAATATTGGTTGTCACAGGCGATTGTAATTGTGGTAAGATAAGAAAATTAAAGATAATAAAAAATTTTAAAAAAAAAACAACTAAAGAAACAATCTAAGATACTGGGAAATATTCTAAGACCATAATTTGTTGGGCATCTGGCGAGTCTACCATGCAAATGAAAACGAATTGTGATAGAATAGCTTAGTAGAACAGACTCAAAAAATTACAATAAGAGAGAACCTATGGGTGGATCATGGCTATAATCTGTTTGTATTAAAAGACAAAAAAAATATATAAACCTTTTAGCACTTGGCGTTTGTATGACAGTATCCTCTCCAAAGTGGAACATCAAAAACACATCAAAAACAAATCAGAAAGTTAACAGAATTATACTTTAAAGAAAATAAAACTTAAAGCGGCACTGTCATGCCGAACTTACCTTTCCTCAATCTCTTCCTCTTCTCCCCCTCTCTCAGGATCTGTTATTCTTTTCTTCCTGTCTTCTTTAGTTTTCTTTAAAATCATAAGACAAAGTAGGGACTCTTTGCCTTATGGAGGATTCCTCCGCTTGACCAGCTCTGACCAGCGGAGGAGCAAAGTGTGCTTCATTTCTGCTGGTCAGAGCAATTTTCCCATGATCCTTACCTTCCCTCAGTGTTCCCACGATGCTTCCTGTCACTTTACACAAAACTGCCGAATTGCGTTCTAACTGAATGAGAACAGTATGTTCGTTTCTTTTAGAACGCAATTCGGCACTTTATTCGGATCGCAATTTCATTCTAATGAATGAAACTCTGATCCTATTCATTGCTGTGGCTGCATCTTGCAGCCGCTTAGTAGATAACTCCCTAATTCCCATGGTATCAGGGAGTTATCTACTAAAAGGCTGAAAGACCTAAATTGGTCTTTCAGCCAACTTACTAATACTAAGTAAAGATTACTTAGTATTAGTAAATTAAATGCCCCTACTCGCTATACCGCGAGTAGGGGCATGTGTAGTAAGCAGTGAGCAGCTTATAGCTGCTCACTGTAAAAAAACAAAAAAAACTAATAACACTCCCCATGCCCGTGGGGGCCCTAAATAAAGATGGGGGGGAACTTCCCCTGGCCCCTCCACCCTGGCCCCCACACCTGCACGGAGGGTGGGGGCCCTAATAAAACAATAAGGGGGGGGACCTACTGTCCTCCCCCCCGGCCCCCACCCCTGCGCGGTGGGTGGGGGCCCTAATAAAACAATAAGGGGGGGACCTACTGTCCTCCCCCCCTGGCCCCCACCCCTGAGCGGTGGGTGGGGGCCCTAAATGAAACACCCCCCCCAATCAAGGTGACTAGGGGTCCCAAGCCCCTAGTCACCAACCCCCCACCCAAAAAACCTATCCCCTACCTACCCCCCTCACCCTACAAATAGTGAGGGGGGAATAAAATAACTAACCTGTAAAAAAAAAAATTAAACTTACCATTTGACGTCTTCTTTTTTCTAAAATCTTCTTTCTTCAGCCCCCAAAAAGGCCAAATAAAAATCCATTATACCCGTCGCACTTTAAAAAAAAAACAACAAAAAAACCGAGCGCAAAAAAAAATTAATCCATGTTCGCCCTTCGAGGGCACGCCGCATACTGAGCTCCGCAGGGCGGGTCAAGGCTTATAAAGCCTTGCCCCGCCCTGCAATTAGGCTTAAAACACTCTGATTGGTGGGTTTAAGCCAATCAGAGTGCTCTGAGTCATTTTACACAGCGTGGGAAAATTCTAAAGAACTTTCCCATGCTGTGTAAAATGACACAGAGCACTCTGATTGGGTGGCTTTCAAGGACAGAAGGTACCCCCCCTCATTATCTTCATGGCCCCCACCCGCCGCACAGGGTGGGGGAGGGGGGAGGACAATAGGTCCGCCCCCCCTTATTGTAATTTATGTCATTTTTTTTCAACAGTGAGCAGCCACAGGCTGCTCACTGTTTAGTAGACATGCCCGTACTCGCGGTATAGCGAGTAGGGGCATTTGGGAGATTTTAATCTCCCTTGTGCTATTATGGGGGTCATATTGACCCCCATAGAGTGAGAGGGGGACCTGGGGGGGCTTATGAAGTGGTGGGGAGCACTGCTCCCTGCCGCTTCTATAGTTACATATTACAAGGAGGGAGCTGCGGCTCCCTCCTTGTAATAAACTGAACAAACAAACATACACTGATACATTGTGTTAGTTTGTTCGTCTGATCTTTCTGTTCATTCATTCGTCTGTCTGATGAATGAATAGGTGAAATTCCCGTTCGCATGTCCAGGTGTTTCCCTGGGCATGTGCGGGAATCTCACAGTCTATCTAGTGTGGGCTGATGACATGTCCCACGGGGACTTCATCTACCCACACAAAGATGGCGGCGCCCTGAATCAAGATCGGGGCAGAAAATAAGGATTTAAAAATAGATAATGTGGGGGGCTTAGGGGCATTTGAGGGTGACTAGGGTGTCAATTGGATGTAGTGGAGGCGGGAGGGGGGTTAAAAAAAAAACGGGATTCGGCATGACAGTGCCGCTTTAAGGAATGCCATATTCAATGATTTGGTGTGCCTTCAAAGTTGTTGTGAGAGAATACTTGATAAAACTTGAAATTAGAATAAATAAAGAAAAAGGGGCCTCGAGGGAAGAATCATACATAGAATGTTACAAACTATCAAAAAATAAATAAAACATTTCTAAACAGCGGAACAATAACACAACTAAACAAAAAATGTTTTTAAATATCTTAAAATTGAATGTGAACGAATTGATAAAAATCTAGAAAAAATGTAAGTGAACTATTATCAAGACAATAATAAAATAACAAAATGGTTAACCAACAAGCTG